GGGTGGAATTTACTTAGAGTAAGATTGTGAATGTGAACTGTTATCGTCTGGACGATTTTCAATTGACTTTTTGTGCATGCACATGTGACAGCGGAGAAAGTTTAAATAGAATTTTATACATACGCACATAATGCCACATTTTGTAGCACGTTATGACGTAACGACCTCCCACTCCTAAACTTAGCGCCATTTTATCTAAGTATTGCAACTTAATACGAGAAAATAAAAAAATACGTGTCTAATATTTTTTCATTATTATCTAACTGACGGACTAATTAGATTTTTAATTTTGGTACCCTGGAAACTACCTAATTAAGTATCAGTTAAAAGACGTTAACAATTTTCTCACCACTCGCCAGCAACTGATTAATAAACTTCTTTCAAGGAAAGGCAGCAAATACCTATTTCAGGAAGTTCCTAACATAACATAATTACTGCGAGTCTCATAGTTATGAAGATCAATTTGGTCGAGTCTCTTTATGAGGGGCATCACATCCTCAATCACGCGATGTGAAGGGGTTGAACCAATTAGGGAACCTGTTGACTATTCCTTGTTTATGGAGGAAAACTATTACTGAATGTAGTTTGAGATATTAATAACTACATAGGTAAGATAAACGTAATATTGTGCTGTACGGGGGAGATGCAGACATGACGCTGAATCTTTTTTCCATTTATAATTAACTAGCGACCCGCCCCAGCTTCGCACGGGTGCAATATGTATATACATACAAACCTTCCTTAAGAATCACTCTATCTATTAAAAAAAACCGCATCAAAATCCGTTGCGTAGTTTTAAAGATCTAAGCATACATACGGACATACAGCGAAAGCGACTTTGTTTTATACTATGTATTGATGTAGTTCGGTCTTCTTTTCACTTAGATAACACCGAGATGCCTTCCGGCCAAAGGGGGTAACCGACTTTACTTAAACTACAAAAAAGCTGATTCTAACCATATATGTAAGTCGAATTCGCAAACATAATTATGTCGCTAACCCCCTTTGGCCGGAAGGCATCGACCGGATTTTTCACCAATTATAATCATAGAGCTACTGACCATCTCTGGTCATGTCGTAGAACGGCCTATGACTAATACACCAATACTTGACTAAACCTAGTAATTTGAAATTTATATTTTTTTTTAATTTCAAATTAATGTTGCAACCTTTTATTATATTATTAAAAAAATGTATTAGGATTTCGGTAAGACCCGAAAATGCAACTTTAAGATACTCACGCTTCCATTTTCGCCAGGTGCGCTGACTACTCGAACAACAAGACCATCGATTCCAATTTGGTAATATTGGTAAATACAGACAGAGTAGAGTAGATACTTAGGTATGCATCAATTATTATAAAAGAAACAACGAGAATAAATATTAATAATATTTATTGGGGCTTAAAATCAATCACAGAACACAAACGCTCCTTTGCACCATAATCATAAAAATACAAACATAATTACGTCACAATAATGACTTTAAACATAATGACAAATAAACATCTAAAATTGCTTTTAAGTTACAGAATTTGGCGAAGAAAAAATATACATAAACGCAAACCTTTTGTTCCACAGAGATACCTCTGTACCTCTTTTATTATGTACTACTAATAAAGAAGGGCCAAATTAAAAGTACCCTTAACCGACGAGCATGCATGAAAATATTGATGACTGTTGATAAAGCGAAAGAGGTATGTAAGAATCGTAGCAATTGGCGTTCCGTAGTATCTGACTACCCCCATGGGATATAGGCGTGAAGATGTGTATGTATGTCATCATAACATCACGCCTTTTTTATCCCCAAAGGGGTAGGCAGAGGTGCACATTACGGCACTTAATACCACTGTACAATACATCCACTTCACTATTTATATTATGAGTCCCATCCCATGTAATAGGGAGTGAGCCAATTGCCATATACCGGGCACATTTCCAGATTCCGTGCTACTACTGAGATTTTTAAAAACCCAGTAATACTTTGCCCGACCCGGGAATCGAACCCGAGATCCCTTGCCCGGCAGTCGCACTTGCGAAAACTCGGCCAACGAGGCAGTTCTGTATGTTCGTATGTATGGATTTATGTACTACGCACGCGCACATTACATACTTTTTTACTTTACATACTTTTTAGCTTCCAAATTGCATCACATTCGTGTACCTGATCATACAAGTACCTATGCCAATTTAGCGTAAAATGGTCCAATCGAATATGTGCCTTATTTTAAGCAGAAGACGACTCTAATTACAAAAATAATAGATCTACTTAGTTATCGGACCACACCGACAAGACTTGAGACAATTATTTTGCCAAATTCTGTACACCTAAAAGGCCAAGAGAATTACGTCCGAACATTCAAACCCAATATTTTTGTCTCTGTCATAATTAAGAGAGTGAAGAGGACAGAAATACTCTAAAAATGTACATCTTAATGATAAAACACCTTCATTTTTGGGCTTCAATATTCAGAGTGAAGATACTAGAAATAAGTGGAGAAAATGTAAATAAACAGAATACACATTCATTTTACTCGATAGAATCGCACAAGCATTTACTGAACTAACAAGTCGAAATAAAGAACTTTAATAACATGTACCATAAAGTCCATTTATCAATAACATTAAAACCAGCACACATTATCAATCAAAATTCAACTCCATTCCTAAGCAAATAAAGTACATTTTGTTTATTATCTCGTCTTGTTAGTCTAAAGAAATACTACAATGCAGAAATTACGTATACCCTGATCATAGCTATCCTACATACATTGAATTGACGGGCATTTCAAAAGTGCTATTCTATCATAATCAGGCCAGCTGTTTTTGATCATGAGCTCATAATACATACCTACAGAGTAAATTAATATTACAGTGTCATTTTATAACTCTAATTGAAGTTTGCTTTCGAAATTAATATATTTTTTTTAATATTCTCAGTGTAGTATATTTTGTTATAATTACTGTAAGCTGTGCAAACCCCATATTAAAAAGTGTAAAGATAAAAATAGCTGTTGATAAATGCATTTTAAATTATAATGTATGTAAATAAAATCAATTATTCTCTAATATAATTCATATAACTTCATTTTTTATTTAGATGAATATAATATCAATAAAAATATGAGCAAGAAAATACTTTTTCTGATATATTTCTTTCTGAAATCGGAAATTTAATTCAACATTTAGATTCAGGATTGAACAAAATACAAATTTAAATATTTGCGACACTAGAGGCGCTAGTGCGGTATGAAGATTGTTTAAAACGAATTTCTTTTTTGCTTGACAACCGAGGCTCCAGTTCAATATTGTCGACTACACTGCCACCGTCCAGTGGTGACGGAAGACTATTAAACTGTCGAACTTTAACTTTGTGGTAGTTTGTAGTTGAACGTAGCATAGGGTTGACCCTATATAGAGTGGTAAGACAGAAAAATATAAGAAAACAGTTCTGCTCAGTATCCAACGTTAAGATCAAATTAAACTCAAATCAAGAGAAAACTGAGGATTTGATACCTATAATTAAAGTCACTATTTTAACCGACTTCAAAAAAGGAGTTCGTGGGTCTGACCTGTGTTGTACGCGATTGGCTAAACGGATTTTGATGCGGTTTTCAAAACACTTAGGAGAAAGTTTTAGTATAATTATCAATAAGTTTTAGTATACCTAGAAAGAGGAAACTAAAATCGACAGTTTATATAAGAACTAATACGGGAAGGAACGATTCGATTCTGGAGATCTTAGTCTCATAAATAAGGGACAGTCATCGTGATCCCCACCTAACAAGAATGATATAGAAGTGTTCCTTTATCAAGAAAAGGTTGAGAACCACTGTTCTATACAGACCAATATCATAGAAATATTTTGACCAATACAAATATTATGCTTATCGTCAAGCCAGTCGGTAGCCAAGCTGACTGACCTAATAAGATCTTATTGCACACCAACGCCATCTAATGAGCGCAAAATTGAAAAGGAAAAAAAATACATATCAGATGTTTTAAAACTATAAAATTTTGTTTTAAATAAAAGAAAAATAATTTCAAGATCATGTAATAAAATTTTGTAATTATAGTGATGTTTTATTATATCATAATATAATTATAGTTCCACTTGTTTCTAGCACCGGGGTTTTGCTGTCCAAACCAAATAGCGGTGAGCAAAAATATCTAAGAACCTTTACCATACGAAATTAATTATTGTTATAGGCTTATTCAAGTAACAGTTTGACGAGAAACTTGATTAGTGTCAAGCCATGCTAGAGGATCATATTAGAGCCAGTATAGTAGAAGCGCGACAGTCGCCGCGTCGCGAGTCGCAGAATGCTGCTCATGAATATGAGCCTCTAGCATAGCTTGAAACTAATCGAATAGGATAGATGACTAATTTTTATTTTAATGTCCGTCTGGTAGATTATTTTAAATCTTTAGGTATCACGATCCTCAAACTCCTAATCCCCAAAAGTCGGTAACGCACTTGTAACGCCTCTGATGTTCCAGGTGTCCATTGCGACGCCGATTGCTTACCATCAGGTGATCCGTCTGCTCGTTTATCGGCTTATGCCATAAAAAAGACATGTATTTTTTATTTTCTTACAGAAACGAATACTTTCGACGATACATTGATTTGAAATGTCGCGTGACGTCACTTCTATGTACATTTTATACGTAGAAATGACGTTTTAGCCCCCACTCCTAAACTTTGATTCGTTTTATCTAAGTTCTGTTTTATTATACGACAAAATAAAAAAAATACGTGTCTAATATTTTTTCATTGCCTAACTTACGGACTAATTATATTTTTAACTAGCGACCCGCCCCGGCTTCGCACGGGTGCAATATGTATATACATACATACAAACCTTCCTTAAGAATCACTCTATCTATTAAAAAAACCGCATCAAAATCCGTTGCGTAGTTTTAAAGATCTAAGCATACATACGGACATACAGCGAAAGCGACTTTGTTTTATACTATGTATTGATTTTCATACCCTGTCATCATCCCAATTCCTCGTCAAACAGTTACGTAAGTACGCCGAAAACATAATAATTAATTTAGTATGTCTCATGATAGTTACAAAGGCCAATAGTTCAACAGTCTGTCGAAGTTGTATTCTGTATATTTATATATTTTCGCTCACCGCTATTATCATTACGAAATTACATATTTTATACGATCAACTTATCCATCTTCACAATATTTTGTTCTTCAAACAAATTCCAAACTATTCACTCGACTCGATGACTTGATCTGTAAATTGGAAAGAATCACAATATGACAAACATACAAAGAGATACGACACACTTAGTCAATGTGTTTAACACATTGGATGCTGTGTTGGACAATAATGACGTTCGAAAGCGCCATCCTGGTCTAATTGAAATAAATGATTTTAACTTTGACTTTGACCGACGCTAGCGGAGGATTAGCCTTTACAGTTTTTATTGGTAGTCAAAGGCTTAACCGACTTAAAAAAAAGTAGGTACTCAGCTTAACCCGTATGTATGTGTTTGTGCGCGATTACCCACTCGCCAATTAGGATGCGGTTTTCAGAAGAGTGTTTGTTAGACTTAGGATAAGGTCGTAGTATATTAATTAACCGATTTCAAAAAAGAGGGGGTTGAAGTCGGTTTTTTAAACGTTGCCCCACACTAGGATTTTCTCCTGTGTCGTGTGTGCGTTTACAAACATACACGTTCACATACACATCACACACAGACCCGGAACAACAATCACACAAAGAGTTTTCCTTGCGGGAATCGAACCCGCGACACATTGCGCAGCAGCCAGTTGCCCAGCTACCGCGCCAACCGTGCAGTCATGTCATGCAGTCAGCGAATTTAAAGCCATTAAATTCGCCTGTAGCAGGCATAGTATGTATATACTTTAATACTACTATACTAGTATTAGTAAACTACTACTAGTAGAGTAGTAAATGGAACTAATTGTCGAAACAAAACATTAATTTAACGAATTAACCTACTCGATCCACTCTTAAGGTATACCCAACATTACATTACGAAACTGATCTTCCGAGTGAAATTGGTAAATTAAAACATATTTGCAGTTTACTCATTCATTAGGGCCCCGTATAACCCGTAACCAAACGAGCAGCCCCGAAAAACGTAGAGCGAGTCATAAAAATCACTTGTTATTCAATAAAATATGTAATTTTGTAAACACCTTACCTACATTACAATCAGTGTAGAACTATGAACCTAATATTGACAAGTAGCTAAGTTCAGAGTTCATATTTGTTCTTTAAATCAGCTATCACTTCGTCGGTACAGTTTTCAGACTGCTTACAATCCTCGAGAAGAGTTGTTAACACTGGAAATGAGAAAGTATATGTTAAAAATAAGACCTTTAAAATGAATTAGTTGAATAAAATAATAAATAATTTTATTTAAATTAGGACTAGTAAATCTAACATCATCCAATGACTTCGCCCGGGTGAGGCGAGAGGAAGTGTCAGACTCTTACTGACTAAAAACCACTCCATTCCTACTCCTGCCCTTCGAGCCACAGCCCCGGCAACACGTTAAGTCCTCCGCGACTCCCTATCGGCATCAGCCCTATTGGGCCCCATCAGTGGGAATCAATGGGCTGGCTTCTACTTTTGCTGCCAATCAGGCATAATGCGTTAAATCTGTATTTAAAACAGACCGGCTAGCAGCACTCACTGATAAATCTAAATCTACAATCATTATCCCCTTTGCTAAGCTATCAGACAGACAGAATAGACTCTATTCTATACTTAATTTACGTTTTAACATTTATTAAAAAATGAAAAAATCTAACATATTATCAAATACTTACTCTGTTTGTCCGTATGTGAGAGGAACATGGCGAGGGCTGAGAACCGTGGTACGTTGGCGATACCGGCGAGGTATGCCGCAGTGCGGCCGCGGAACTTGTCCCGTCGGGAGTGTAGCACTTGTATGACGTCCGATACCACGGAGCTCTCCAGCGCGTTCGCGAATATGGACGGGATCTTTGACGGTTCTATTAGCTGTTGGATGAAAGACATATTGTTAGCTTTTGTTGAGTAGTAATTTTCCTATAAAATATAGGTATTTTATAACTATACCGGAGGCTCAATTATAATCCCCAGTCTCCCCCACAATCCTCAAATTTCTAATTCCTAAAATACTGGTAACGCACGGCGGCACAAATTCAAGTGATCCGTCGGCTCGTTAACTGGCTTATGCCATAAAAAAACTATTAAACACTAAACTCGGAATTTTAATTCGATTCCAGATTTGACAATTTCAGTGTTGCTACGTTATGACAAGTACTAAATAGTGACGTGAAATTATTCGATATGGAAATGCAATATTTCTGGATCGATTCTTCTCGTTTATAATTTTACTCCCGTAAACTAAGTATATCAGGAAATTAAATATTTCTGAACCGATAATTTAGTTTTGACGATTAATTAACGATCTAAGACTTTTCTTTTATAATTGTGTGTGAAATAAATAAAAAAATGTAATCATGAAGGAACATGACAAATGAAACAGATAGATGTATTATGGTAATAAGTTATTCTATAAATTGTCGCCGTCATCGCTATCGCTATTCTGTCACTTTCTGTAACATTTATTATAAAACACACACACTGATTGTTTATCGATTTTTGTGTACATCACTACACTATTATATGTGGTATCATTATTTCACAAAATGACAGTAGCTATTGTCAAACCTGGAATCTAATTAAAATTCTGACTATACTTACATTCCAATATTCAGCCATGGCATCCCACTGCCCCTTCATATACTTCCACTCCGACATAAACTGAACACTATTGACAGGTGGTACAAAATTCTTGACTTTCTCTGTAACCATTGCATCGGAGACCAGCTTCACTGACTCCGGACTAGCAACCTTCTTGTCCCCTTCACCATAAACATCTGTCTTCCCATGAGAGTCCTTCTTATTGGAGTCATTGTTATTCGAATCTCCTTGGGACAGGTTGTCTTCAACGTCCACAATTTTCAACCGAGTCGGTGGTTTCTCTGGCGTTGTCTCTCCTAGTAATACTTCTTGGATTGGTATGGACTTTAGTGGTCTCTGGAAATGGTAGATAGAATATGTTAGTTTAGAAATTGTTAGCTGAATGCAGCATTGCTATGTTATTGTGTAAGATTGGAGCTCTTGTAGTGAACTCGATTGTATTTTGGCACACGATTGGTCGAGGTTATTTTTTTAACCAATGACATGGCGGACCTCAATCGAGCTCACTTGGATAGTTCAAATTGACATCTTACAGTATAGCCTCAGTTGACCATTTCGGGCATTAAGTAGTACATAAACACAAATAACATCACGCCTTTTATCCCCGGAGGGGTAGGCAGAGGTGCACATTACGGCATTATACTATTTAACGTTTTTATAATAATTATCGTGAGACATACTAAATTATCTGAAAATCGCGGGTTACTCACGTGAATTTACTAAGAAAAGCTCTACTAGTTTCGAACCACAGAGGTGTTCTTCCTCATGAGCAGCGTGCACGGTCGCGGCGATTTCGCGCAGCCAACTGACCAGTAGCGACCACGCGATTTTTAGTTAATTTAGTATTTAATATCCCAAAAAGGTCAAAAATTATGTACTCATTTGTTGTGATGAAACTCCTAACAAAGTAGAAGGGTTTTATGTTATCATAACATAGCATAACATCACGCCTTTTATCCCGGAAGGGATAGGCAGAGGTGTACATTTTGCCACTGTACAATGCAACACCCACTTCTCATTGTTTATGTTATGAGTACCATGCAATAGGTGGTGAGCCTATTGCCATATACCGGGCGCAATTCCAGACTCCGTGCTACTACTGAGAATTTTAAATAACCTAGTAATACTTTGCCCGACCCAGGAATCGAACCCGAGACCTATTGCCCGGCAGTCGCACTTGCTGTGGTAATTATGTTGTAAACTCCAAGAATACCCAAACACCAACACTATTCCATATGTCTTATGTTAATTATAACAATTACTACCCAGGAATTGAACCCACACTATGTAAGCTTAAACATACAAGGTTACCTTAGATCTCAAATGTGGAGGCTTCTTTACAGGTCTGATGACCATGATGTTCTCTCCGACTCCGCTTCTCCAGTCATCTGCAATGAGCTGGCCAGCCACGGGCGGCTCTGATGGTAGTTCTACTATCTTTGGTTGTATTTTAGGTTTAACTATTGGTTTGTTCTCAGACGTAGGCGTCGATACTGGTGACGATTTTGATTTAGCCTGCATATGTAACATAGTAAATGTATTTAAGTGTGTGAGAGCCATGCTTCGGCACGAATGGGCCGGCTCGACTGGAGTGATACCACGGCCTCACAGTATACCGACGTGAAGCAACGCTTGCGTTATGTTTCGTTTCGTCGTGTGAGTGAGGTTACCGGAGGCTCAATTACCCTCCCCTTCCCCAATCTCCCCAATTCCTGAATCCCCAACGATCCTCAAACTCCTAATCCCCCAAAAGGCCGGTAACGCACTTGTAGCGCCTCTGGTGGTCCAGGTGTCCATGGGCGACGCCGATTGCTTACCATCAGATGATCCGTCTGCTAGTTTACCGGCTTATGCCATAAAAAAAGTTTCAATGATGTGAATGTTTGATGATGCAAGAAGGTATGATTTTTATTAGGTAGTAGCGATTTCCTTTCAATAGTTTCATAAATGTGCATACGCCGTTGTGGCCCGGAGGTTTAAGACGTCCCGCGTCTCATGCATGAGAATGCAGATTCAAAATCTACAAATGGCAAGTGTCAATATGACTTCTTCCGCGATATCAATACATAGTATAAAACAAAGTCGCTATTCGCCGTCTGTCTATCCCTATGTATGCTTAGATCTTTAAAACTACGCAACGGATTATGATGCGGTTTTCTTTAATAGATAGAGTGATTCATAAGGAAGGTTTATATGTATACATGCATTTTGTACCCGTGGGAAGCCGGGGCGGGTCGCTAGTAATTATACTATACTTTCTAAGATTATTTAGACGCCACTCACAAATGTTGAAGGAAAATGTTGTGAGGAAACCTGGGCTTATAATTTCTAATTTTAAGTCTGAAATTGCCAACCCGTATTGAGCAAGCATGGCAATTAATGCTCAAACCTTCGTTTGAGAAAAGGTCTTTGCTCAGCAGTAGCCTCTTATAAGCGGTTGATGTGAAAATTGAGTTATTTGGCTCTTTGTTGACTCTCTGTATTGTTACGTAAACTTCCATGTGTAACAAAAGTATAAGTAAATAAATACCTATGTTGCTCCCAAGCAAATCTTAATAACATAAATTGAAGATGGATTCAACCACTAACCAATTATTCATTATTTAAACTGTCAAACACCAAGCGGTCACCGGTGACCGCAACCTATTGTTCTATAATTGTGTCTACAAAACCGGTACTCGACGAGTTAATTGAATGAAATGAGATATTATTAAAACAATAACTTACCCCTTTAGTCCCCATTCTAGTCTTGATAGCTTCTAATTGTTTCCTAGCTGCAGCATTATGTGGTTCTAATTTGAGCACTTCAGTGAGATCATGTGACGCAGACCGGAGTGAGCCGAGTCGCTCCCGGGCAGTGGCTCTTCTTTGTAAAGCTTTGACATAGGTAGGGTCGAGACGCAAGGCCTCTGTGCAGTCTGATTCAGCTTGATGAAGACTGTAAACAGTTATAATTAGGTAAGCAGGGTTTTATGGTGTGTAAATAGTTATACATTAAAACAGAAACAAGGATTACAGTAAATTAACTTGATTCATATTCTTTTTATGAACTACAACTGTTCAACAAAATAGAACCAGTTTTTCAATCGCAGTTGTAAAATAAATATGAACTTGCGAATGCAAAATTAATAGTGTTCACAAAAACAAAATATCATTACTTTATCAATTTGCGGTAGCTAAAGAGATAATCAAATCAATATTGTGTTTCAGAAATATTTGAGTACTTCAGAATCAATTATATTTTAATAACATACTCATTGGTTAAACATTATTACAAAGTAGCTGATGCGGCAAACTATTCAAACCGCTTAACAATTTTCTTCTCACCTTCAACTTCTCTAGATTTCCACGAACAGTTCAAGACCAAAATTAGCCAAATTGGATCAGTCATTCTTGAGTTTAAGCGAGACAAAGGAACGGATTTTTTTTTTTATATAGATTACTAATCGGGTGAACTAGCTACAAGCTGTCCGTGTAAAGTTGTCAGGAATAGATTGAACAATGAACAATATGACCATTACAACTCCTTCTTGTAGGCTTTAGTTAGATTTCTTAACTAAGACGAGTCAAAATGTTTCATTTCTTTAAATAAAATGTTAAATAATAATTATCTTAAGGACTCACCTGTCTTTCTTCAAATAACACAGTCCTCGGTTAGCAAAGTAAATGGCGTCATCTTTCACCAGTTCTATAGCTCGGTTGTAGCAGGATATCGCCTCATCCCATTTTTCTTGCTTCACAAATGTGTTGCCCTGGAAACCAATATCAATGGTTGTTATGGTAACAAATTTTTGTTTCTAGTATTTGTCTTTTGTAAGAAGTGTTTTTTATTTTTAAGGGGGACAATCATCAATTGACTTCTCCCACCTAGCTGAGGTGGGAGTGTCAGACTCTTACTGACAAAAAACCACCACATTCCTACCCCTGCCCTTCGAGCCAGAGTCCCAGCAAAGGCTGAATTCTTAACATCCACACGTACTGTTATTTTGTGCAATTGTATTACCTAATTTATTAGTCTGAGAATATACAACACAGGGAGATTTTATATAATTATTCCTATGAAGGAATAAAACTATAAATAGGCAGAATGGTTAATAAGCTGAGATTATAACAAAATAACCAATAATTCTTAAAAGTTATTATTCACAAATTACATTACCAGGATCATGCCCATTGTAATAGCCAAATTAAGAGATTAATATTTACAAAAAGTTAATCAAAAAGTATTTTACCCTCTCCTTCTCGTACTGAGCTTCCTCCTTGAGTTTCTCCAGCTTGGCTTGCTGGCTCTTCTTGCCATCTAAAGAAGTCGGGCCGACGTCTTCCATGTCTATGTCCTCACAGGCTTTATCCTAATAAAGGTAATGAATATTAGTATGGATTTTCTTCTTCTCTAAACAAATTTACATTTTGGAACAAGCACCTAGCTTCACTGACAGGGAATTGAATTTAGATGTTGTAAAAGTGTATTTCAGTATAATAATAAAAAGTTTTCAGTTTGATTTTATAGCTATACCTATAGTAATATAATTAAGTCTTAATCGCTTGAATGTCAGTATATGAGACACAATATAAATGCTTTAACTTTGACTTTGAATAGACAACACATGGTCTCGCGTAGATTGCTGCGTTCCAGCACATCACAGGTTAAAGTTATTTAGTATTGTATAACCTCTTATTTGGTTAGTTTTATCAGGAATGAGATCACAATATTTACTCTATAAAAAAGTGGATTTTTGATAATTTTATCCACACAAAAATTGTTGGCTAACCTTATTAAAATTTAATATAAATATGTAAATAAATAAACACCCACAGACTTACCAACTTGATCACTCAGACACTCAAAATTTAAATACAATAGATTCTCTTTTCAAGAGACCAGAGAGCATAAGCCTATTGTTCTTCTTTTTCAAAAAGATCATAGAGCGTAAGCCTATTGTTCTTCTTTTTCAAAGAGACCATAGAGCATTAGCCTATTGTTCTTCTTTCTTTAAAGAGACCATAAGGCATAAGCCTATTGTTCTTCTTTCTCCAAAGAGAGCATAGAGCATAAGCATATTATTGTTCTTCTTTCTCCAAAGAGATCATAGAGCATAAATCTATTGAAGTCCAGTTTTTTGTGCACTTAGGTTCTTGTATAAAAAATAATAAGATTGGTACTTACAACATCATATTTGTCCCATGCTGAATAATCAGAACCTCTGATCTTCCTCTCAGGTTTCTTCTGAGGAACTACTGGCTTTTCTTTCTTTACCTTGCTCCGAACTGGGGGCAGGTCCTAACCTCGAAAGTAAACCAAAACAAATGTGAGAACCTTTGAAAGATGGCCAAAAAGCAATGTTAAAACAACCCCAAATATTACACGGCGTAGACGTAGACTACACAATACTAGATACGAACTAGTACTCTTTCGTTGAATACGAGAAAACCAACATAACCTCACTAAAATACATGACAACTTTAACTTCGACAATTTTAACCAATTAAACTAATGTATACAGAAATACATATTAATTATCAAATTTACACATAGGTATCACAAAAACAATATAAAAACGTGAATAGGTCTAAACCTGTTCGAAAGCACCGTTCAAAGCAGCCTCTTTTCTTTTCATTTCTGCTTCCCAATTCTGCAAGTCTGTCATGTAAGTTTGCAAATCTTTAACATTATTTCGAGCTTGTTTCTGAATTTCAAAAACTTTATCCATGATTCTAATGGAAGGTACCAGAATAAATTCGTCTTTACGATTACCTGTTAGATCAATAATTATTTTCAGTTGCACATCAATGACAACGTAAACTTGTCAAACAAAATTTTGATTGTCATGGTAATTTCAACATGGCGGGCTTTTAGCATAGCGTAGTGCGTTCGGAAACATTTTAATATTATTTTTTATAGCAAAAATGTATGAAAATAGAAATGCTGCATTGTTGTTGTTTAGTTCTGTAATTAATACTAAACTTAACTTACGTAGGATCAAGAAATAAAATAATTTATTTTCCGAATTATTAATTCTGATATTGGCAATTTTTGATACAAATTACAAACATTGGCCATTTACTGGAAAAAAAAGTTACAGAAAAAGAAAACTAATGGCTTTTTGTAGTATTTTTTGTTATCTATGTTAATCATAAGGTTTAAAGGAAAAAATAATTATTAAGATTAATTTTGAAATTGAAAGTTATAGGAAATTGATATAAAAAAAATTATTGTTTGTTATTATTATCTATGTTCATAACAGGTAATTTTATTTTACTGGGTTTTTAAAAATTCTCAGTAGTAGCACGGAGTCTGGAATTGTACCCGGTATATGGCAATAGGCTCACCCCCTATTACATGGGACGCATAACATAAATAGTGAAAAGTGGATGTTACATTGTACAGTGGCATTATGTGCCGTAATGTGCACCTCTGCCTACCCCTTCGGACATAAAAGGCGTGATGTTATATTATGTTATGTCATCATCATCATCATCGTCAACAGCCGAGCATCTAAGACATTTTTATTCAATAATCAGTAATAAAGTAAACATTTTAAGTAGGTCCCTGACCCTATTATGAATGATTATAAAACTGTAATTAGATTTTTTATTGATTAATATCTTTTTGTTCCTGTCCATCCTAGTCTAACAACAACAATCTACTGCACTTAATAGAAACAATCGATACCTACCTACTATACCAATCAGACCTTCACTCAAGGTTACACCATACTCACCAAGAAATAAAATACTATTTTCATTTATAAAATTAATTCGAAACTCATCATAGAGTAACGCAGCAAGCCAGTAAACCAATCAAGAACATTTTTATAACGAATGCGTGCTTTCAAAGACTTGATTTAGTTCATTGTGTCAAGGTTTTAAACGTAGCTGAACTTCTGGGAAAACTTTACTAGGTAGGTACCAGCTCTTACCTAAGGCCTTGACCCTTGTTAATTTCCCAGTTATAGGTTTAAAAGTCTATGTCCCCCGTGTTCTAATCCTAACTGTGTTTATGTAAGTATGTAGGCAGGTACCTTTTTATGATGACGGAGAGAAACCTTCAAAAGGCGACTAGCCTATTAAGGAGAAAGACTAGGAGGAGTGTGGGATTCGTACAGACCTCACTAAAACCACCCCGGTGGCCACCCTCAGCACTTGTAAGGGCACCTGGTCCTCTGAAGAGACCTGCTACGGAGCCCCCAATGTAGGCAGGTATCGAAGTATTTAGGTCTTTTTAAGAAGATTGATTGAGTCACAGAAATACTATTATTACATCTATAGATTGAGTAATTAAAGCATAAAGAGGTAGGATAACCAATTAACGTATAACCATCAATCAGACAGTCAAACCTCTCTACATTATATTACATGCAGGTACGTATATTGTCTTTAGATCTATCATCATCATCATTAATAGCTGGAAGACCGCCGTCCACAGCTAGACAAAGGCATCCTCCTTAGTCGTCCACGTTGAACGACAACTAGTCACCTTCATCCACTGGCTTCTCGCGACTCTAACGATTCCATCGGTCTCTATAGGCACAGAATACTACTAGGGACAGGTCTATGGGTACCTAATATTATGTTTAACCTATAGTTAAAGATGTTGATACGTAGTCATGTAGGTACTTATAATAGCACTTATATCAAGTTTTCTTGTCATGAAAAGCTTGATTAATAGGTAAAGACTTATATAAAAGTAGGTATGATTTTTTGGAAGACAATATGTTTAACTTGTAGCTTGCAGCCTAAAGGCAGTACGTACCTGACATAGGTACATACATGAATATAAGTAAAATGTACACGGTGTGTTATATACATAATTATAATTAAGTATATATTATACTTTTACCGGTGTTTCCTCTCGGCACGCCCAACGGAACAGCGACATACCAGTATCAGTATACCAGGATGGAAATACTTAGATGATCAGTAAAAATAATTGAGAACTAAAGTTGTAAGGAAGGATAGTGCGTTTCGTTAAAAATCTTTAGCTTTGTAAAGATTAGACGGAACAAAACCGAAAATAATCGAAACAAAGTTGAAAGCTGAAAATCAGCGCCGTGGGCTCGAGCCTCTGTGCCCTGTCCACGGTATTGAGCTGAGCTCCAGCCTTTTGCGCTGCGACGCACCATGGGCTTTTTTTCGGTGTTTCTAAATTCTTGTTGTGTGTCGTAGCAAAATAAATGGTTTTTCTTTCTTTCTTTGTTTCAAAGCAGGCCGTCTTAGACCGGGCTAGGGCCAATACAATAAATCCTTTTGGAATGCTTTTTGTTTATTTTTAACACAGACCCGGAACAACAATTTGTGGAACACACAAAGGAGCAGGGAACAATCTCCTTACAGGAACAGAACCCGCTACAAGTTGCGCGGCAGCCGGTTGCCGTGCGACGTATAGCGGGTCTGTGTCCTTCATAGATATTGTCGGTCCTTTGGGCCCCCCTGAGCATGGGGGCCCTAGACACGGGCCTCGAGTGCCCTTATGATAAAGACGTTGAAGGTTTGAAGGATCTACCAAAAAATATTTGTTTTGTGTGTTAGATTCGGACATTGTTTATTTTTTGGAATAAAAAATGATATTACGACATTACACCACACATCCTATTAATCAATTTTGTTACTTATCTAGTTATTATTATCATTGTTGTATGAAAAAACTATTGCTTGTTAGCAGCATCATGCAAAAAGTTGTTGAGCGCCATAAACCAGGAAATATAGAAAAGGTTCCGTAGGTATAAGTTTTTTGTTCTTCTCCTCTTATAATATCTTTTAATTCACTTCGTTGCGGGAACCAAGACAGTTATTCATGTCCCTAGGACGCGCCGGACTTTAGTGTTCCAGTGTTTTCATGGTTGTATCTACTGTAGATCCTGGCTTACAGTAGTTGCAGCGGTTTTGGGAGGTTGTGGCAGACTTGTCTCATAAAAAAAGGCATAAGTTGAGTGCACTGTCACAATCACAGCTTTCGAGTGAGGAGTCTATTCTAGCAGCCATCAAAGAGTTTGCGTTATTCTACCGACCTCTTTGCCAATTCACAACAGAAAGCCAACAAGCTGATCACGCACGATTTTATAAAATGTTAATTGATTAGGTAATTAAAAACTAACATCGTTGGTTTGCAATACTTTACTGCTCTTAATATTGGTGAAACGTGATCGTTTGCGCATTATAGTGAAGTTAGACCGAGGAGTACTTAAAGCTAAAATTGTAGCTATACGATTTCGATGTCGCAAGACTGTCGAGCATGGGTTCTCAGGTCGCACGATGGTGAATTAAAAAACAATGCCTCCGTGATTGGCACTTATGATGTCTGATTTTCCTGGGGCGGTACGGGTACCTATACCTACCTATTTAGTTACTTACCGTTAGTCAGACAAACCTTTTGTTATTGCTATCGATAGGTACTTACAGGTAGATAATTTATTACAGACGGATCACCTGATGTTAAGCAATCGATGTCGCCTATGGACACCTGGAACACCAGAGGCGTTTCAAGTGCTTCACCGGCTTTCGGAGATTAGGAATTTGAGGATTGTTGAGATTGAGAAAGGGGGGAGGGGGTAATTGGGCCTCCGGTAACCTCACTCACGCGACGAAACACAACGCAAGCGTTGTTTCACGTCGGTTTTCTGTGATATTGTGGTATCACTCCGGTCGCAGCGGCCCATTCGTATTGATTCGTGCCGTAGGTAGGTAGGTAGGTATATAAAACTACTTTAGCCATAATCTGTATCTACCTATAAGAGGTGGGATTTTTTGGTCCAAAAATAGGATATTCAAAAATACTAGGTATCCGAAAATCTTCTTTTTTGCGGGGGGAAAATTATCCAATGACTTCTCCCGCCCGGGTGTGGCGGGAGGGAGTGTCAGACTGTTATTGACTAAAAACCACCCCGTTCCTACTCCTGCACTTCGAGCCGGAGCCCCGGCAACCCGTTAAGTCTTCCGCGGCTCCGTATCGGCATCAGCCCTGTTAGGCCCCATCTGTGGTGGTCTGATGGCTCCTTGAGGCGCGCGCGGAACGCGACGCGCCGTACGCCGTACGGGCCTGATTCTGGTCGGGCGGCGAGTCGCCCATGCTCGCCGTCCGCAGGCCCGTGCTTACGGTGGCCGGAGATCATCTCGCGATCCCCGACGCCCGGAGTGTCTCTCGCGACGAATCTATCTATACCTACGCATCATAACACACATACTTCTACACACTACAACTTTTTCTGGACGTATTAGGTAAAAGTTTTTTCACATTGTAAGTTTGTAACAGTTATAAAATATATAGGTATATTGTTATTACCTACGTTGATGAGAATGTAAATCTATCTATACTTAGTTACAATAATTGGGCACTTGCCAACTAGTAAAATTCAATACTTTTTTCGAACTGTCAAAAACGACGTTTTCCACCTATGAATTTTACGAGATTGTGGATTGTGACGCCACGTTTTTTTGCGTCAAACGGCATACCTACTTATTTCTTAAAAAAATGCTGGAACAATTACTAAAATTAAGTTGGTCATAAAATCAATTAATGAACGTGTGATTATTTTTTAATATTTTATTGTATTGAACAGTCGAAATAATTTATTTTTATTAAGGAAACTACCTATCCAATGATTTATACCTACTAATATTATAAAGCTGAAGAGTTTGTTTTTTGTTTGTTTGTTTGAACGCGCTAATCTCCGAAAATACTGGTCCAATTTGAAAAATTATCTCTGTGTTGGATTGCCCATTTATCGAGGAAGGCTTATAAGGCTATAAAAT